GGGAAAAGCTCTGTAATCCCAACATCTTTATTGTCAAAGGCAGGAATTAGAGGAATAAAATCATCACCATCACTTTGATGGTGACGATTTAAAACGCTGAGACGAGACCCTGCTGACGTGACAAATTCTCGCACGGTAACACCACTGGTACTAGCAACAGGCTCAGTAACACTATGCTCTGAATCCACTTCACTAAAACCAGAAAATGAGTCACCTTCTTCTGACTTGTTGCCCAAAATATCCTCATACTCTAAATAAGCACAGGAACTGTGCGATCGTGGGTGAATTGGAGTAGACATTGGGCGAGGTGGCAAGGGTGAGCGTGTAAGCCTCGCCATGGGAGGAAGCTGTATCTCATTTTCACTGTCTGTGCTACTATCATCAGTCAATTGTGCATAGACCTTATTGTAAGAGTCATCAAAATCACTTTCCTCACCATCAGAAAATAATTCACTTGTTATTTGCTCCTGGGTAAGTGATTGTGTGGTGCGTACCCGGGAGGCATTCGGCCGTGCGCTCGCCATGGTAACCGCTGGGTAACTGGGGCCTTCCATGCGTTGGTAGCGTGAGCTGGATTTTTTTTACAAAATGGGGGCATTTACTATAGCCCCTAGGCAGCGCATGGGGGGCCCCCCTACCCTGCTGGTCCTTCAAATCTTGCGCGGTACTCTATCACGTCATATGACGTGACGCGCAATTTATAGCAATTTACTCAACACGTCATATGACGTGTTGCGCAGTTTAAAGGTTAACAACCTGGGTACAGCCCCATATAGGCCATTAAATCGAGTGGATACTTTTGAAAGCTAAAGCCAATAACATAAATAATTTCTCAAATAGCAGATGTCTATCATATTACAGTATATTTTTGTTTTAGTTAGAATATTAATATAATTTGGATAATAAAGAGCTATTAAAACACCAGTTTAGAAATGATTTATTAATCTGAAACTTTCAAAGTCATAGGTCACTGAGCTATGATGACACAGACAAAAGTGAGGTTTACAGTATAGTATTCCCCTATCTGTCCACCCTCACTCATCTTGTTTCATCACAGAAAATGTATATTCTGTATAAGAAAATTTTCAACACATTAGCTAGCTATTCACATTTCAGCCTTTAAATTAATTTACACAGAAACGTGTGCCAGAAATCAGTGAACGAAAATCATGAAAACTCAGTTGTTCACTTGTGTGGACCAGTCTGGCTGGTGTTTAGTTAACACTTTCGCGCTATGTGGACGCGCCGGCGCGTTCGGTTTCGTCTAACGTAAACGCATAGTGGACATAAAGTTATGTCAACTTTTAAAAATTTGTATAAAATTCAATTTTAATCCGATTTCATTGGGGTTTGTTTCAAACGACGCGCCATGAAGTTCTCTTTCTCACCACTAGGCCGCCTGGCGCATCGGCCTACCCGGTCACGTGACGGGCCCATTTTTTTCATGTCGTGAGTCGATCACGCTCCCCTCGCGCGCCAAACTCGAGCATTTTTACCCGTTTCCGTGTGGATTATACCCAATTACTTCATCAAAAATGGATCAAGGTCAAGGCCCAAGCACTTCTACAAGCACTCAAGAAACATTGAGAGAACTTGGGGTGTACAAATGTGGCACAATTAGAATGCTACGTGGCGCCCCAAAGGTATTGCAAGCTCTAGCCAAGGGTAAACTTCCACTGGATACCACAGTATACCGCCGCAAAGATAATACCTTCATTCTCCTGTGGAAAGACAAGCGAGTGGTTTCAATCATTACCAACATCCACAATGCAGACACTCAGCAAGTTCAGCGAAGGAAGCGAATTCGCAACCGAGACGGAACAAGTGGAATACAACAGGTAACAGTGAACAAACCGACTGCAATTTGCGAGTACAATAAGTTCATGAAAGGTGTGGACCACTTCGATCAAATGGTTAAATATTACCATTTTACCAGGAAAACTCACAAGTGGACCAAAAAGATTACCTTTTTATTTCCTGCAAATGGCATTGCATAATGCCTATGTTTTGTACAAATACAACACAACTGATCGAAAAAAGCTAACATTGCTACAGTTCCACGAAGTGGCAATCTGGGCCCTATTGCACTGGGACACAGAGGAGTGGCCTAAAACAACATCATCATCATCTCAACACTTGCGGCACGCTCCAGACATAAATGATGACACAGCTCCTGCCAATGCTGACGCCATGCCAACTCCCGGACCATCTGGTGTGAGGCGGCCTTTGTTCACTACACCACCTCAAGATGAAGCAGACAACGAATCTGAACCCGACATGTCTGCCACACTGCCAGTTGACGAAACTGTTTTGTCAGATGAATCTGACTCTCCTGCAACTCCTGTTACACCTCCAGCGAGAGGACCTGGCCGCCCTATTGTTGATTCAGAAAATCGCATGAACTACAAACTGAAACATGAAATTTACAGACTGCCCAAACGTCTCAAGTGTCATGCATGCGCACGGTCCGGTAAAAGGAAGGACACGAACTATGGATGCAAGACCTGTGGTGTTGCACTCTGTGTTGTTCCCTGCTACACCAATTACCACTGGAAACAGGTGTATTGGGTGGTGAAGAAGTAACCACCCGCAACAGCTTCACTCCACCTACAAACCATCTGTTGAGCAACTTCAGGAATGAAGAACCTGAAGAAGGTGGAGAGAAGAACAAATGCTCAACTTACTGTTCCACAACCAGCCTTCCCTTGGTAAGTACACCTATTTGGTCCAAGTTTGTGTAGTATAATTTAGCTCATAGAACATTCTATTGCGAAAACATTGCCACAAAAATGAATGACATACATACAATAATAATATCAGAACAGTGAAATAAGTATAAACTTTCAAAGCAACGTTTCGCGCGTGTGTCGTCCAGTCACCGTTACCGGGTAACAGTGCGCCCACTTCCCACACTCTTGCGGGTGGGCCGGGACCATTATTCTACGATTATATTCATATCATCGTGTTGGGAATTTTATTGGGAGTCCATTGATACCAAAATTAAGGCTGTAGGACAATTGTAGAGGTGATAATAATCCCAAGAGTAAAAACATTTTGTTGCTGTTGAGCGCTCACGGCGACTCATCTTCGTAGTTATTTATTTCATGCTGGTATCTCTATAGCTTTTGTGACTTTTTTTACTAATGTTCTTCTAGAGAATTTTATTGCGAACACGTTGGTACCAAAATGAAATACGTAGCATGAAAACTAAGGTCAGAAAAGTAAAAAGAGTATACACATTTTTGTTTTTATGCTTAAGCGATAAAAACGCCGCGCGCACATACGGTTGGCTGAGTGACCTTCGCCGAGAGCGCGAAAGTGTTAATATGGTTTACTTATTGTATGGCCCACTCTGGCTGGTGTTTAGTTAATATGGTTTACTTATTGTATGGCCCACTCTGGCTGGTGTTTAGTTAATATGGTTTACTTATTGTATGGACCACTCTGGCTGGTGTTTAGTTAATATGGTTTACTTATTGTATGGACCACTCTGGCTGGTGTTTAGTTAATATGGTTTACTTATTGTATGGACCACTCTGGCTGGTGTTTAGTTAATATGGTTTATTTATTGTATGGACCACTCTGGCTGGTGTTTAGTTAATATGGTTTACTTATTGTATGGACCACTCTGGCTGGTGTTTAGTTAATATGGTTTACTTATTGTATGGACCACTCTAGCTGGTGTTTAGTTAATATGGTTTATTTATTGTATGGACCACTCTGGCTGGTGTTTAGTTAATATGGTTTACTTATTGTATGAACCACTCTGGCTGGCGTATAGTTAATATGGTTTACTTATTGTATGGCCCACTCTGGCTGGTGTTTAGTTAATATGGTTTACTTATTGTGTGGACCACTCTGGCTGGTGTTTGGTTAATATGGTTTACTTATTGTGTGGACCACTCTGGCTGGTGTTTGGTTAATATGGTTTACTTATTGTGTGGACCACTCTGGCTGGTGTTTAGTTTTTTTTTTTTTTTTTTTTTTTTTTTGAGATATATACAAGAGTTGTTACATTCTTGTATAGCCACTAGTACGCGTAGCGTTTCGGGCAGGTCCCGGGAATACGATCCCCTGCCGCGAAGAATCGTTTTTTCATCCAAGTACACATTTTACTGTTGCGTTAAACAGAGGCTACTGTTAAGTAATTGCGCCCAGTAAATCCTCCCCGGCCAGGATACGAACCCATGACATAGCGCTCGTGGAACGCCAGGCGAGTGTCTTACCACTACACCACGGAGACTGTGATAATATGGGTTCACTTGTTGTGTGGACCAGTCTGGCTGGTGTTTAGTTAATATGGTTTACTTATTGTGTGGACCACTCTGGCTGGTGTTTGGTTAATATGGGTTCACTTGTTGTGTGGACCTGTCTGGCTGGTGTTTAGTTAATATGGTTCACCTGTTGTGTGGTCCACTTGTCCACATGTGTGATCCAACTTGTCATATGAAGGAATTATTAATTGTAACCTGTGATAGAATGGGAAAGTTTTCCACCACCCTGTGAACTCTGTTCCAACATCGTAAGCAAATCCGCACATCCTCCGTTTCGGAGAACCAGAGCATGTCGAACCGGGTGAGGAAATCTGGCCTGAAAAGTGTGCTACCTAGCTGGAGATTCCTCAAATTAGGGTGCGTTAAATCGAGGTTGTACTTTAACTGTTACTTGCCACTAGCAGGTGTGTGCAAACTCATGTCAGGATTAGCAATGTTCTTCATGCAGTTGCTTGTTTTGTAGTACTCTACCTTTATGTGATTATCCTTTGGATTAATGTGATGGTCTAGTATCCCTAGACTCCCCTTGCCTCTACTGAGGACGGGGAGGGGGCAGATTTTGTTATTGGCTTCTGGTAGGCACTTGTGAATCTTAGAGCTTGGTCAGTAATCTAGGTTTGGAGCTTACCAGGTGGATAGCCTGAGAAACCACCAAAGGGACCTACATGAAGGGATCTACATGGAAAAACATTTGATCAAGCTTTGATAGTATTTAATGATACTTACAACCGAGTAGCAGCAGGAATGTTTGAGAGTGGATTAAACCTCAGGACATAACTTTTATTTTTCAACGGATCATCAGAGAATACCACTGCTGCTAACATGAGCCTGTCCTGTCTGGGAAGAAATCACAAAATTAAAAGACATTAGTTTTGTCAATAAACAATAAAATCAATTAACATTTCACTAAAATCACATTCCTCATTACTTACAAGTTTGTTATTTGCTCAATTACAAAATTTCAAAGACCTTCAATATTTTTTGTTTTTTTTTGTTTTTGAGATATATACAAGAGTTGTTACATTCTTGTACAGCCACTAGTACGCGTAGCATTTCAGGCAGGTCCCTGGAATACGATCCCCTGCCGCGAAGAATCGTTTTTTCATCCAAGTACACATTTTACTGTTGCGTTAAACAGAGGCTACAGTTAAGGAATTGCGCCCAGTAAATCCTCCCCGGCCAGGATACGAACCCATGACATAGTGCTCGCGGAACGCCAGGCGAGTGTCTTACCACTACACCACGGAGACTGTCCCCCCCCCCCCCTGTTACCCACGGAGACTGTCCCCCCCCCCTGATATGTTACCCCCCTGAAAGAGAAACAACTTGAAAGAAGACCAAAGGAAAACAGAAAACAAAATTGAAATATTCAATAATAGAAAATATAATAAATTAGGTATATTGTACAGAATATTGTATGGAATTAACAAATATGACTACAAGCACAGTTAGCGTAAGCAGAAATAAATGTACACAATCCACTAGACCAGCACAGGCTTGAACAATGGAGCACTTGAATAAGAGATATGACATGGATAAGCTCTGACTGTTCAGTTACCAATCCTTTTTGGTGGAGAATGAGATGTCATGTTGTGTGAGAGGCATGCCTGGTATTGGTCTGTGCCAGCATTTCCCCTTCCTTTGCCATGTGCACTTATTTGTGTGTGCATAATTACCTTGGTATAATTACCTAAATGTAGATATGGGATGAGATCTACGCTCGTGGTGTCCCGTCTTCCCCAGTACTTTGTCATATGATGCTTTAAAACTACTGATGATTTTGGCCTCCACCTTCTCACTTAACTTGTTGCAACCATCTATCCTTCTGTTTGCAAAAGTGAACTTTCTTTAAAAAATTTATCACCTTTGTTTCCTCACTTTAAACCTATGTCTTCTTGTTCTTGAAGGTGAAGTTTTCAAAAATTCTTTGTCAATTTCTTGATACCTGTTACTATTTTGTATACTGTATAGTGATCACATCACCTCGTTTTCTTCAATGTCTACATAACCATGTTGTCACGGGTAATGTAGACACTGTGATTCCATATATTTTGTGATTTTCATAATATGTGATGTTAGAGCCATTATCTATCATTTTTTGGGGGGAAGCCCCTTGTTGTTTCATGAAGCTGCTATCTCTCAAAGTGTGCTATACTACTAGTTCTATGAGTCACAGAGTTCTATTGCCCTACCAGGGACCATGAGCTAGAATCTGGCTCCCTTACATGAGGCACAGAGAGCAGTGGCACTTATGCTAAAAAATTTAGAAATTTATTCATGTCTGCCACCACCAAGGAAGGCACTCCAGAAAATAAAGGAAAACAAACCATTTCTGGTTTCATACAAGACCACAGCCTCGAAAACTGTCGCAAACCCCAAAAAACTCAAAACTTCACAAAACTAGCACGAGCTCATTCACCTAGCCTTTCCCTCATTTGAGGGAGAAGGGAGGGGAGGCAGCTGGATACCCCACCCTCAGTTCTATTCTGATTGTAGTTGTGCGCTATGTTCGCCTCTCTGTTAATCCTGCTCTGGTGTTCTGTTTTCAGCCTTATGAGAATCAATTCACAATTATAGTTTTAATCATATTATTCATATTAGTGCAGAATATACCATGAAATACACACACACATAAACACCCCATTTAATCATTTGTTTGCATGTACTGTATACTGTACATCTGTAATACAGTATTTTGATTGAGTAATACTTACTGAAAGATATCAATTAACTCGTCCTGTGAATTGTAGTATCTGACTGAGAAATTGGTTAAGAAATTGGCTCCAAGTTGCTGAATCTCCTCTGTGACATTTCTAACCTGCAAATACAAAATTACAATATTAATAAATAAAAAATCTAGCATTGAATTTAATAAAATGCCCTTTTTCTGCAGTAGCCCCAGAGGCTCCCTGAAGCTATCTAGACTGATATGTGCTATACTGTGACATCTCGGCTTACGAATGACCCTATTTACGAACTTTTCGGTTACGAGCTCAATTTCTTCGTAAATTTGATCAGGTTATGAGCTTTGCCTTGAGTAATGTAGTTTGTTGTACGTGCCCTAGTGCGTGGTTCCTGGTGGCACGGTCGCCCATGCTTCAGTTTAGCAGTGCCTCCCGCTTTGTGATGATCGCACTTGAATTCTTTGTAAAGAATTTCATTGTTTTTCGGCTTTTTTTGGATTTTGAACATAAAAGTAATTATTATATATAATGCCATGAGTCCCAAGAAAGTCAGTGGTAAGGTTCAACCTAAGAAAACACATGTGAGGATGACCATAGAGCAAAAACAAGAGATCATTTGTAAACATGAAAATGATACACAGGTTGTTGAACTAACTAGGCAATACAACACATCTATGTCAACGATATGCACTGTAATTGCTAAAATAGGGGCACTCATATTATGTCCCCATATTATATTATGCACTCATATTATTTGCCACTCTAAAGTGGCAAAAGGCATATCATCATGAAACAAAGGACACAAATACTTGAGGAAGTTGAAAAGTTGCTATTAATTTGGATACACAACAAGGAGTTAGCATGTGATAGTTATTAGAGGCTATCATTTGTGAAAAAGCAAGGCTATTCCATAAAGATCTTATACAGAAAACACCTGGAACGAGTCATGCAGAAATGAAAGAGTTTAACTCCCAAGCTGTTCCAGGCTATTTGGCCTTTGTCACCCACAGACGCATAAAAAAAAAAAAAAATTAAAAATCAGTGTTGAATGTAATGAAACGCCATTTTCTGGGTGAGCCCCGGAGGCTCCTTGGAGCTTATCAGGCTAATGTATGTTATATTAGACCGGGACATTAGCTAAGGAGTTCAGACCTACCAGGGACCAGTGCCAGAACCTGACCACTTCAGAGGTTTCGGGGAGCAATGGCTCTGGAAAAACACCTTGTGGTTGGGGTTTTCCTTATCTGCCATCAACCGGGGTCAGGCACCCAGAAAGGTAGGCATAACAAAACAAATCCCACATGGTAAAAACTAAAACAAAAAAGCGAACAGAGGTGTAGAAACTCCCTACAATCCCAAGGAAACAAGCAAACATCGCACTTTACTGCCGCGCTGATCATCCGCGCAGCCTTCCCCACCCCGAGAGGGGGAGGGGGGAAGCCCCTGACCTCACCACGCCGGCTGCCTAGCATCAGTTCGGAAGCTAAGCTTCAATCAATGCGAAAAAACCGCCGACCGGTGGGAGGGAGGGTTGCCAGGGAGCCTCCGGGGGCTCACCCAGAAAATGGAGTTTCATTGCATTCAACGCTGGTTTTCTGTGAGGAGCCCCTACGGCTCCCTGGAGCTTCATACCCAAAGAGAGGGAAAAGAAAGGGACGACCCAGGAGGCGGCCACCACAAACTCCGCAACGTGAAGCCGAGACAACAGGCTGTAACCTGCAACCAGTGGGCGTTTTTGGTTGTCTTCTGGCCTCTGGGGGGTGACCGCGGACGGCTTCTCCCCCTTTGGGGGCTTCAGGGCTGGCGAGGTGGGTTGCTTCCCCTGCGCTTCGTCATGTCATCTTAGTGGGTGCGTTGGACATGGTCGATCCGCCCCATCCTTCTGGGGTTCCGGTCTGCTCTATGCAGACACTGGCCTGGCGAATCTGCGGTTCTTCTGGACTTGTTCAGACTTGTTCAGTCTGCGCCCTGGATTCTATGCCCTCATTGGAGGACTGTTGTCTCCGGTCCGGCTTCTGTTGGGGCCGGGTGCCTGGATAGTGGCCCTAGACCTCCAGGTCACTTCTTGGCACGTTCCTCTCCAGTTTTCCGGGACTGGCACAGTTGGTGGTGGGGCTTCAGGCTTGCTGCTTTTGTTGCCTTCCTTAGTTTGTAATTGGCACTTGGTGTATTTAAGCATCTTTACTGGATCTTGGTGCCCTGTCTGAGTCTGCTTGGGATTCGGTGTCTGGCCTACCTCAACGACTGGCTGGTGTGGGCTCCCAGTCAGTCTGCTTCTCTGCTCGCAAGGGGTGTGGTTCTTTCCAGATCGCCGGGTTTGGTTTTCTGGTGATCTGGAGGTCGTTCCATCAGTTTCCGTCCCGGGTTCGGACCTGGCTGGGCCTTGTTTAGGGCTCTTGGGCTGCTCCTTTTCTTTCCCTCCAGAAGTGTTGTTGTGGCTGTGGTCCCACCTTTGGCTGTTCATGAGGGGGTCTCAGGTTGCTGAGAGGTTGCTCGAGCAGTTGTGCGAGAGTCGGAACTTCGACGTGCTGGTCTGCCCACAGGGTCGGGTTTGGCTTCGGTGTCTGTTTGGTTCCTTCGAAGACTCCCCTTTCGCCTCTCTTGCAATCGTTGGGTTTGTTCCTCCGGTATCTTGTGTTGGTGCTGCGTCACCAGCTTCCTCTTTGGGGTTTTCGGGGTACTGTACCTTGGCACCTCCCCGAGCCTTCGCTCGATGTATTCACGGCGGGTCATCTCTCAGCTGGGGCTTTGTGCCTAGTGCTCACCAGGTCGGCCGGGTCTGTCCGTCCGTCGGGCTCACAGCACGGTTCGGGAGTTTGTGGCTGTCTGGTTTGCGCTTCGGAGGGTTCGGGTCACTCGGTGCTCTACCATTCAGCTCCATTCGGACTGTTCTCTGGCGGTTCTTTGCCGGAACCACTGGGTTTCTCTTAGGTGTTTGACCTTTGGGGTTGGTCCCTTCGAGTGGCTCGTTTGCTGGATTCTTGGGGTTTGGTTAACCGTGAGGTTCATGTCCGGCTCATGTGTGTCTTACGTCCTGGCGGGCAGCCTGTCTCAGTTCATTCCTCTGTTCGTCAGAGGAAAATGAAAGAGAACGACTTGTTTGTCAGAAACAAGTCGTCGCCGACTCGTTTCATTGGCTCTGCCGGACGTATGGACTCCTGGCCATAGACGTCTTTGAGTCGACGTGGTCTAAGCGTTGCCCATTCTATGTGGCACCCTTACCCGCCTGCGAGGCGTTCATGGTGGATGCCTTTTGGCAGGAATGGTCGAGGTGAGGGTACCTGCTCCTCTTCTCCCGGTCCAGCTGTTGCTTGGGTTCTGGCTCGGTTGGAGCCCATTCCCAAGGAGAGTAGTCTTAATAGTTCCTTGGTGGACGGCCCAGCTTTATTTTCAGACGCTGCTTGATAGGTGTTCGAACCCGGCTCCCGCGGCTCCGCCTCTTTCGGCAAGTCGGACCGGTCCTGCACATGACTGGTTTGGCTTTCTCTTCGGCTCTTCGCGTCTGGTATTTTGACATGGTATCACCATCTCTGTGGTGATCAGGTGGCTTTGTTGATGGTGTCCCACCTTCGAGTTTCGTCTCGGCGACAGTAAGAGACAAGTTCCTGGTGTTTCTATGCACCTTTTTTCTTGCTCTTCATAGGTTTGTTACGAATCTTACTAAGATTCTGCCATTTCTCTTGATTCTCATATTATTTTATTGTCTCGTTCTCTAATTAATATTGCATCCAGTTGTATGATATAAGATTTTGTATGTTATATATATATATATATATTATAGCATGCTGTAGTGTGCCCGAGTTACTTTGGTGTTAGATTTCGCATGTAGTTTCTCCGTGTGAGCGGTTGACCATATTTGGATATGGCCAGTGTGGGAACATTGTTGTCAATCGAGTGTCTATAGTTTTACCTTTATTTATTCCCATATTTGGTTGCCGTATTATTGTATGGAATGTTATACCAGTGTTTACTACTCTTTAGTTTGACAATGTTTTGAAAATTAGTGCTGCATTTTGTTATTAGAATTTCCACAATGTTTATGTGGACGTTTAGTTGATTTTTTGGTAGACGTTTAGTCGACGTTTGGCCTGCGGACCAAAGCCTGGGCAGTAGCGTGGCGGCTGTTGTCGAGAGGAGTTGTGTTTTAAGCTAAGTCATTGGTCACTGTTATTTTAGCCCATATAAATGTTAATTATCTGGTTAGATGATTTGAGTATTACTATTGATTACTCCATGTTCTGGTGATATTGCTCATGTCTCAATAATTAATTTCATTCTATGATATTGCATGCTGAAAAATATTTCTGGCTATTATTTATACATTTAATTGTTGTTATGTTTGTCCCCCTTAGCATAAATATATTGTTCTCCATTTTATGCAGTGATGTAATTATACCCCTAGACATCTGTTGGCATGGCCGATTTATTATCATTTCTTTACACTGTGGGGAGAAGAACCTTATTTAGTCTCAAGGGTGGTGACAAATGGGGGCCTGTCCGGGAGATTAAACCTTAATTCCCTGTAATGTTTGTTCAATTAACAGTGCTAATTATTAATAGCACTTGCCTTCCTAGGTACTCTGTGATTATCTAGTGACACCTAATCAAGCCTGTGAAATTATCTGTTCAATCTGAGCTGCTGTAAAAACTTCTCAACGCTTCACGATTTGAGGTAAGTGTTCAGCTTGTGCCAGGGGCCAAGCATAATTTTCAGTGTTGTTGTGATTATTGAGCCAACCATGGAGGATCAGGTTGCTGCGCTGGTGGATCAGCCCAATTTTGGTAAAATTAAAGACTTAAAGAAGTCTGGTTTGTTATTGCTGGCTGATAAATTGAACCTAGCTATTCCCAGTAAAATCTTGAAAGCTCAAGTGTTAAGAGTGATTGTCACACACTTGGTGGAGGAGGAGAGACTTGAAGAAGAGTGTTTGGGAGAGTTAGAAGAAAAGTCAAGTGACAAGGTGGCAATCTTAAAGTTGGAGTTGGAGACTAAATTAGAAATGGCTTGACTGGAAGCAGACAAGCAGAGGTTGGAGATGCAGAACCAGACAAAACACCTTGAGTTGGAGGCTCAGTTAAGACTAGCAGAGCAACAAACTAAACAATTAGAAATTCAGCAGAGTATGACTGAAAA